TCACAGATGGATCAAAAACACCTTCCGGTTCTGGTGCAATTATCATGTAATGAAATTCACATCAAGTGTAATCGAATGTGAAAGGTAAGACCTCGTTAGTCATTTGCTCGCTCAAGTTACAAGTTTTGTAAATTGTAGTTCGTGGGGGGCGACAAAAAAAAGGATGAGGGAATCTTCCAAAGAAAGGAAGAAAGTAATCAATTTGAAAATGAGTAACTCTATTATAGATGGAGTAGTAGAAAGCCAAAAACTTTCTTTCCCAAAAATTAATCACTCCTCAAAATATTGTCGCGACCCAAATGGCTCGCGAGTTGGGGGTTAACTCAGATGGAGGTATTTATATAAGAATAATGATCATAGAGATAGAAAATAATGAAGTTTATTAAAATAAAGGTACAACAATGTTACGCTTAATCAAAATTATATACTTCAACAAACCAATAATACAAATCACAAATAATACACTTACCGAAGGTACATTTTCAGGGGTGATGGATGTGTTATCTTCAGAAGGTGGCAAACTAATCCGCATACTCAAACATTCTTCCATTTTATGCATTTAGAAACTTGCGTTTCTAACATATTTACAGACTTACAGCTGGGTATCTCGAATTCCGAGGTGAACTTACTATAATGACTGGACTAGTAGTGTTTTCGCTGTGGCGATGGTCTTAGTGTTCGCAAAGTCTGTTGTGTCCTGTCTCTTGATGATGTTTTGATAAGGCTGGGGTGAAGAAGTTATTGGATTTTGTAATGAGGACATCTAGGAATGAAAGGGAGTTATTGGTTTCAATTTCCATTGTGAATTTTACGACCTCCACCCAAATATAAAATTCACAATGGAAACAATGGAAACTCCCTTCCATTCCTACACGGTCTACAGGAAACCAACACATACAAACAGATACCTCAACGCAAACTCCCACCACCATCCAGCACAAACCAACTCCGTCTTAAACTCTCTCATCCATAGATCTATCAACCTCATGGACCACCACAGCAAACCACAAGAGCTAGCCCAACTCAAATCAGCTCTCCTTCAAAATGGATTCACAGACCATCAAATTGACAGATCCATCCGTCGTCAACAAACTTCTTTGTCCAGTTCCAAAGATCCAAAAGACAACAACGTTCCCCACAAAGCTTTCCTTCCCTACGTTAAAGGTGTAACTGACAAAATTGGCCGAATTCTCTAAAAAACAGGACATAAAAACGATATTCACCGCCAACAATCAATTTTCCACATTCCTTCGTTCTCCCAAGGACAAAATTATCAATAAATCCCATATGAAATTCCATGCTCCGATTGCGATACAACATATCTAGGCCAGACCAACAGACGTGTGACAAGTAGAGTATACGAACATCAGCTTGCTGTCCGAAAGTCAGACCCATCCTCAGCCTTATCAAAACATCGTCAAGAGACAGGACACAACAGACTTTGCGAACAATAAGACTATCGCCACAGCGAAAACACTACAAGCTCGGATAATTCGCGAGGCCATCGAAATCGAAAAGCGAACTTTCTGCCGGAACAAACGTGATGACGGTCAAAGACTTCGAACTGCCTGGAAATCCCCAATAGCAGGGGAGCCCACGATGCAAAATGGGGATTTAATCGAGCGTCATTGAGACATATTAGGTTGCAAAGCCTAGATGATGAGAAGAAAAAAATGTTATATAATATATACCTTTTCATCGGTGGGGGAAGCTGCTATTGATTATTAGATATGTAAAAAAATACTGTTGCAGGGATATACTCGAGCGCGTCAGATATTGATACCATCAATGTCTTACGTATTTTTAATAATGTTGGTATGTTAATCTGATCGTTTGCATGATGTGGTTGGTTGTAAGTAAGGGTTAAAAGTGAAAAGAAAAAAATTTAATCGAGCGCGACAGATTTTCTAAAGGGGTGTTAAGTGCAACAAAAAAAGCTCTCATTCAATAATCTGACGATATCGATCTGACGCAAACTCGCGGCCATTATTATAATGTGCAAGAAAAATTCGCCATTTTGAAATACTCAAGCGCGTCAGATTAAGATATATATGGTTCATCTTTATATTTTAGACGTGCTGTCTCATAATCTGACGATTATCAAAAGGTTCTCTTAATCTGACAAAAACAATATTTTTTTCATTTTATTTTTTCATGTCATTGAA